AGCAGCAGCAGCAGCAGCACCAACGTCGCGTCCACCTAATTTGCGCCTGCAGCACCTTCTCAGCGCTTTGTGTCTTCTGCTGCAGCTGCCTCTCAGTCTTTCGCGCATGCAGTGCGCATGCATGCTGTTTGGGGTGTATGCACAGCGCAGCCACCCCACACCCCACAAACTCACCAGACACCTTGGGGCCCCCGCAGCACCTGACTGCTGCTGCTGTGTCTTCTACAATTCGGGCTCTGCAGAGGACTCTGGCTTGGGTGTCCTGCTGCAGCAGCAGCAGCCGCTGCATGGCTTTTTGCTGCGCCGGCGTCAGCAGCGCGCCGCCTTCGCCGCCACCAGCGTCTGCTGCTCCCGCTGCTGCTGCTGCGGAGTCAGCAGCAGCAACGCCAAACTCCTGCTGCTGCTCCTGCTGCTGCCGCGCAGCCAGCAGCCGCAGCGGAGCCTCAGATGGCCGCAGCAGCTCGCACAGCCGCAAGACCCCCTCGCAGCACCGAAAGGCAGCATAGAGGCACTCCTGCAGGAGCAGCAGCAGCAGCAGCAGTAGCAGCAGCAGTAGCAGCAGCAGTAGCAGAAACGCGGAAAGCGCTGGCTTTGCCCTGTGCGTCTGTCTCAGCCTGAGTGCAGCTTGTGGCAGCAGCAAAGTTTTGCTTCTTTTTATATTTAATATTCGTTTCTTTCTATTTATTTTGTACTTGTTTCTTTTTTTCTACATTTGTTTCTTTATTTTATGTTTGCTGCTGGATTTTGCTGCTCACCAGCTGCAGCCGCTCCCTGCGCCTCTCAAACTGCCCCTGGCCCAGAGCCTCCAGCGTCTGCCGCTGCAGCAGCGGGAAAGCAGGCAGAGCAGCACTTGCTGCTGCTGCTGCCAGCTGCCGCTGCAGCACGGCCACCACTCCGTCGCATGCAGCGCAGCACAGAGCAGCAGCACGGTACTCCAGGAAGTCTGCAGCAGCAAGCCCCGCACAGCAAGCCCCGTAGTGGCAGCTGCTGCTGCAGCAGCAGCTTCGGCTGCAGCAGAAGCAGCACCAGCTGCAGCAGCAGCAGCAAGCCGGGCAGCACCAGCAACAGCACTTGCTGCCTCGATGAGCCACAGTACTGAACCAGCAGCACGGGAAATCCGGAGCAGCAGTTAGAATGCTGGCTAGGACTGAAGACATAGTGCAGCACTGAAGAAGCAGCCACAGCAGCAGCAGCAGCAGCAGCAGCAGGATCAGCAGCAGCAGCAGCAGCAAGTGCCGCTAACCTGAACCGTCTTCTCGCGGCAGCTTTCCATCCAATGCGTACTCATCCGCAGACCGCAGCAGCAAACGCACGAAGTCCTTGGTATCTGTCCAGTCTCTGCTGCTGCTGCTGCTGCTGCTGAGGCGCGGCAGCAGCAGCGCCATAACAGAATCAAGGAGACAGTCGAAGACCTGCAGCCACGCGCTGCATTCCGTAATATCTTTGCTGCCATTCTCAGGCTGCTGAAATAGCATCAGTATTTCCTGCTGCTGCTGCTGCTGCTGCTGCTGTCGCAGCAAAGTTGCTGCACGCCGCAGACACTCCACCAGCTCCAGCGTCCCCCGAGGCTGCTGCAGCACTGCAGCAGCAACTTGGGCGAACGGCAATTGCAACAGTGACTCCCAGGTGCTGTTGCTGTTGCTGCCATTGCTGCTGCTGCTGCTGCTGGCGTTGTGCTGGTCCTCAAGCATGTGCTGCAGCTGCAGCAACAGGGCGCAACGCCACAGGCGTCTTAACTCTAGCTGCTGCTGCGTGCTGGCGCTGCAGCACAAGGCAGCAGTGCCGAGGACTGCGTCGACGCTGCCCTTGCTGCTGCTGCCGCTGGACTGCTGCTGCCGCCGCTGCTGCTGCTGCTGCTGCTGCAGCCGCTGCTGCTCTCCGCGCTGCAGCTCGCGGCTGCGCTGCGTGCATGCGCGCAGCGGAGGCAGCAGCGCAAGCAGCTGCAGCCGAAGCTCATCCAACAGGTTTAGTGCATCTTGCCTGCAGCAGCAGCAGCAGCAGCAGCAGCAGATTGCTGTCGATCCCTAAAGAGCGAAGCAACGAGAGAACAGCTGCAGCAGCAGCACATGTAGCAGAAGCACTGCGCAAACTCACCGCAAGTCCGCCGGCATTAGCTGCAGCAGCCGCTGCTGCTGCAGGAACTGCAGCAGCAAAGTGAGAATGGAGCAGCGGGCCTTGAGAGCAGCAGTGATGCTGCAGAGGCAGCAGCAACTGCAGCAGCAGCTGCACTCCAGGTTTTGCCGCTGCAGCACTGCTTCCTGCTGCAGCAGCTGCTGCAGCAGCCGTGGCTGCCCATCTGCTGCCAAGCCCAGCAGCTCTAGGCCTTTGCTGCGCACCTCAGCAGCAGAAGCAAACCCCAGTGTTGCAGCTGCTGCAGGTGCTGCTGCCTGCTGCTCTGTGCAGTTGCTGCTGCTGCTGCTGCTGCTGCAGGCTGTACAGATGTGCGACATTGCTGCCTCCGTTATAAGCTGATGTGCTGCTGCTGCAATCAAGTAGCAGCCCCAAGCGCTGCAGCCGCACCCACCAAACCCCAAAGCCCAAACCCTAAACCCTAAACCCTAAACCCTAAACCCTAAACCCTAAACCCTAAACCCCAAGCTATTATCACTCAAGAGATGCGGGCTGCAGCCCTGTTATTTGCGCTTCTCTGCACCTCGACATTTTGCATTCAGCCGCCTGCAGCGCCAAGGGTTTAGGGTTTAGGGTTTAGGGTTTAGATTAGGCGCAAAACCAGCAGCAGCAAAGAGATGCAGCCAAATATTACAGACAGAAAAAAACAAGAAAAGTGAAACAAAAGAATATAAAGAAAGGGAAATAATAAATAACAAATAATGAACAAATAAAAATAAAAATAAAAGAATAAAAATAAAAATAAATAAATAAAAATGAAGACAAAAGAAGACACACAGCTGAAGAAGCAAAAACGCAAAGGGCAGCAAAATGGGCAGCAGCAAACAGAAGCAAGCAGCAGCAAATAGAAGCAAGCAGCAGCAAATAGAAGCAGCAGCAAACACAAGCAAGAAGCAGCAAATAGAAGCAAGCAGCAGCAAAGAGAAGCAGCAGCAAACAGGAGCAAGCAGCAGCAAATAGAAGCAGCAGCAAACAGAAGCAAGCAGCAGCAAACAGAAGCAAGCAGCAGCAAATAGAAGCAGCAGCAAATAGAAGCAAGCAGCAGCAAATAGAAGCAGCAGCAAACACAAACAAGCACCAGCAAATAGAAGCAAGCAGCAGCAAAGAGAAGCAGCAGCAAACAGAAGCAAGCAGCAGCAAATAGAAGCAGCAGCAAATAGAAGCAAGCAGCAGCAAATAGAAGCAGCAGCAAGCAGAAGCATGCAGCAGCAAATAGAAGCAAGCAGCAGCAAACAGAAGCAGCAGCAAACAGGAGCAAGCAGCAGCAAATAGAAGCAAGCAGCAGCAAATAGAAGCAGCAGCAAACACAAGCAAGCAGCGGCAAATAGAAGCAAGCAGCAGCAAATAGAAGCAGCAGCAAACACAAGCAAGCAGCGGCAAATAGAAGCAAGCAGCAGGAAACCGAAACAAGCAGCAGCAAACAGAGGCAGCCAGCAGCAGCAAAAAAGGAAA